TGATGGTGGAAATATCCGTCTATAGATTGTAACAAGAAAAAACTCTTCAAAAAATTCTTTATTTTCCCAGGTGCAGAAATCTCTGCACTCCCATGCATATCATGTTCCAGTGGAAGCTTTTTCTGTGATTCTCCCTAAACTGTTTCCAAGAACCTTCAGTGCAACATTACATTCAACACACTGAAATGTAACTTGATGTTTCTGCTAACTAACTTGCTCAAATCAATCAATTCAATTTTTCTAAAAGACCACCATGACTACTCTGGACACTTACTAAGTTGTAAATACTATACAGCCTATGAATTATAAAGGAAGATGTCTTTCTGTTTAAATACAGGAGTGTTACAGAAATTCCACTCCAAACTATTAGGAACAGGCACATGTGTTACAAAATACACAAAGTCAAGCTGAAAAATCGAACGATAAGATCTGTGTTTAAACGTGTGAAGTGTTGGTGAGAGGCCCGAGCAGGGCAGATGAATGTCTGGAATTTTTTTCTCCATCTTTGCAGCATATTTGGATTTGGAGTAGACATTTAAGAGCCAGTAGGGAGTTTGTTGACAGGGTACGTCACAGAAATCTGTCAAACCCGGCGAGTAGTGTTTTGGTTACAAAGTTAAAAGAGTGGCAATTCATCAATTTGACAACATACTTTTTGCTGGAAATTCACATATAAAGTGAAATGCACCATTGCCATTATTTTAACAGTGAAACAAGAATCTGAAACAGAATCAGAATCAGTAAATTATCATCTTTTCCCTAAGTTCTCATCTTTCATTCGTGAGGACCTAAGAGGACTGACAGGGGGAGGTTAAAAAATATAATCAGAATCCAATTAAGTCTCATGTTACATCAAGAGACGTTGAAGAAAGAAGCCTTGCGGAGCTGACAGGGTTCAGGTTGGGTAGCGTGTCTGCGGGTGGTCCACAGGTTATTATAAAGGGCTGTAAAGCCAGTTGGTCAGGCAGAGGGTCATCAAACATAGTTAGCATCTTGTGTCCTGAAGACCCCTAAATCAGGAAGGAATGGTAACCTTTGACCTCCAGGGCTGGGTAAATGGCTACCTAATAACAGAGCCATTGTTATTTCCCTCATTGAGCCGAGAGCTGCAGTTGGTTCCTGGCTGGGTGTGAGGTTACGCTGTGGGCGCCGAAAAGAGCCAAAACTCTGAGCTACTTTGTGGTATGCAAAAGCTGATCTCTGTAATTTCGTAACAGTAGGAACTTTAACTCTGCAAGAAAAAAAACCTTCAGGCACGTCTCCCAGCAAATACTAAATACTTGCCCAGAGGGTGGTTTCCTGGAATGGCATCATCCTAAAAGAATGTTCAAGACTTCAGGGTTTCTGAAAACTAAAGACGGCAGGAGGAGCCATGACTGAGTCAGACTGTTTCTACTGTGACCCCAGTACTCCTACTGACCACAGCGGTTAGAGCTGGTGAAAACCACTCGTTCATGAGGAGATTCCTGCTGGTCGTATAGCATGACATAGTATTTTCCATTAGTGCCCTGCAGGAAATGAAGGTGAGGAGATGTGATCATGATCAGGGGATCTGGTATTTAAAACCTAATACTTACAGACTGTTTATCAAGTCACATGTTTTGAAACTTAAAGAGTTAGTTGCCTTGAAAGTATTATGTTAAGCCAGTACCTGAAAACCCTCAGAAAAAAATATTCAATTGAAA